TCGGCTCTTCTGGAATGAATATGGAATCCAGGGCTGAGGCGGAGCAGCTCGCGGCGGTGCTGAACTTCGTGCTGCCTCCCGCCTAATCGCGGCCGCGAGTTTCTCGGTGCCTGCGGGGGTATCCCAACGGCTTGCTTCCGCGCCCCAGCGGCTCGCGGGGTTGTCCCAGCGGGCGTTGTCCTGACGGCTTCTTGCGATTTTGCCATCGGAGAACGCGCCCGTGCCGGGCGCGGCGGCGAGAGCGCCGAGGAAGATCGGCATGCGCCCCATTGCCAGGAGGAAAAAGAGGTGCACGAGGAGAACAGGCGGGATGGAGATGACAAGGGGGTGGGAGAAGGAGGAGGAGGAGGAGGAGGAGGAGGAGGAGGAAAAAAACGAAGAGGAAAAAGGATACATTGAACAAGGAGGGCGAGCAGGAGTAGGAGACGGGGGACGAGGAATACGCGGATGATGCAGAGGAGGCGCAATAGAGGGCGAACTGGGGGGGTTCTGCCAGGGCGAAGAGGAAAGAGCGAAGGGCAGTCTAAACAGATTATCGTGTGGGGTCCTACCATCGGGGTATTTTTATCCGAGCCCCACGTTCACCGCGATGTAGCGGGCGTGGCGTTGTGTCCACCCAAGAGGGAGCCGCCAGGGAATGATATGACACTGGCCCGTTCGCGCTCGGATTGTGGGGACTTCTGGAGTGAATGGCCCGCTGTGGCCCAGTAGACCAGAAGTTGGTCGACGTCCTACCTTGACACGTCGATGAGCGAACTGGCCGTTTTCGGTTCGCGAGAGGGCGTCGCCGTCGTCAACTCTGCGGGTCCAGGTCCGTCGGTTTCGGTCCCAGGCCGTTTTCATGAAAGGGTGGTTTATTTATGGGAGGTTAAAGGAGGTTTGTCCACCGCCGAGTAAACGCGCTTCTGGTCATAACCCCATGACCACCAGGATTTACCAGGCATGCCACTTGAACCGTCCAATTTGGGGTTCGCAGCGGGAATGGCACGGCCATTTCGCATTCAGGTGTTTAGCCACTCGTGGACCTCTCGGGTATAATGTTTGCTTCGGCCCAGTTGGCGGGCTGATCACCCCATGATTGCCCTGATGAAGAAGGCGTGACAGTTGAGACCTTGGGGAACCGCTCAGGCGTATGGCGTTGTTCCGTTCGCGTGTTTCTTGTGATGATCTCACAAGCGGACTTCCCAGGGAATGAAGACATCTTCAGATTGAGGCGCCTCAATCACATAACCCCTTCTCGAATGTACAGTCTTACTCCTGCTCCGATCCATTGACAACAAGCCTACTCATACACGTATGCGTTTGTAGTTGGCCACGCATACTAATGTTCACCCGCACCGGCTCGTACGCAGTCTCGTTCGTATGCAGCCGCTCGTACCCAGACTCGCACACACTCGTAGTCACGCCTGCGCAGATATTTCACAAACACGGTAACACATTCATGCACGTACGTTAGGTTCCACGCCGAAGAAATTCTTCACGCTTCGCGTATCCCCACCAGCCCATCTCAAAACAGCAACTCTAGCGAAGCATGCCGACAGTCGTGTTTTTCAGGCGTGTTTCCGCCTGCCCCCGCATATCTCCCCTGTTCCTCCTTCCTCCCGCCTCCTTGTACATCCTCCTTGTGGTGGGAGCGGGAGAAGGACGAGGCGGAGGAGGAGGGAGAGAAAGCGCTCCTCGTGGTTTGAGTCGTTTGGGGTTTCTCGTCCTGGTGTGAGTCGTTCGGGCCCTTCTTCCTGGTGTGAGTCGTTCGGGCTCTTCGTGGTGTGAGTCGTTCGGGCTCTTCGTCCTGGTGTGAGTCGTTCGGGCTTCTCGTGGTGTGAGTTGTTCGGGCCCCTCGTCCTGGTGTGAGTCGTTCGGGCCCCTCCTCCTGCCCGTCCAGAAACGACGCCCAGGCGAGTAGAGGGTCGTCCTGATGGGCTTTTCGGCGTCTTGGGTGCCTCGGGGGGGCCTCTTTGGGCCGTTTGGATCCTCTTGGGGGCCTCCTGGGGGCCTCTTGGGGCCATCTTGGGGCCTCTTGGTGCCTCCTGGGCGCTTCTTGGGGCCATCTTGGAGGAAATCGATCAAAGAAGGGGGAGCTTTAATTAGCGCTGCCCCCTCAGAAGGCCAAAATGGGGCCAACACCTTAGTAAAATCAATGATTTTGGCTTGAAAGAAGAGGGGAGCTTTAATTAGCGCTGCCCCCTCAGAAGGCCAAAATGGGGCCAAAACCGAAGTAAAATCAATGATTTTGGCTTCAAAGGAGAGGGGAACATTTTTCTGCCTCCCCCCGTCGGGGCCAGAATCCTCGTGAGGGGTGTCGTTTTTTAGCCCTCCCAGGAGTCCAAAAAGACCCCTCCAACGACCCGCGAAACCCCCGCTCCAGGTCCAGGGGGAGGGGGTAGGGGGAGGGGTAAACCCCTCCCCGAAGGGGAAGAAGGGGGGTTGAGAACAGAGAGAGCTCCCTAAACCACTCACGCCCAAAGGGCTGGTGGGATTATGTCCGCGTATGCCATCTTTACGCCACCAACGGTCCCGGCCAGGGCCATTCATGGCTCCACGATGGTGTATATATCTTTCTGGTCTCGGCCAGGAGGCGTATACACCATGCCAGGGCCCAGGATTGCCCTGGCCAAGAAGGGTGGTGGTGTATAGATGCCTGCTGCGAATTCTGCACGTCTTCCACGCAGGCTCTGGATGCCCAGCTGAGGCTTTTAGGAACTCGCCTCCGTACGGTTGTGGTTGGACTAACTCGTCTGTATCTTGGCACATCGGTGCATGTGACTTGATCGAATTCTTCATGAACTAAAACTGTGATCCCACCAGCCCTTTGGGCGTGAGTGGTTTAGCGAGCTCTCTCTGTTCTCAACCCCCCTTCTTCCCCTTCGGGGAGGGGTTTACCCCTCCCCCTACCCCCTCCCCCTGGACCTGGAGAGGGGGTTTCGCGGGTCGTTGGAGGGGTCTTTTTCGACTCCTGGGAGGGCTAAAATTTGACACCCCTCACGAGGATTCTGGCCCCGACGGGCGGGAGGAGAAAAGTGCTCCCCTCTTCTTTGAAGCCAAAATCATTGATTTTACTACTGTGTTGGCCCCATTTTGGCCTTCTGAGGGGGCAGCGCTAATTAAAGCTCCCCTCTTCTTTCAAGCCAACATCATTGATTTTACTAAGGTTTTGGCCCCATGTTGGCCTTCTGCGGGGGCAGCGCTAATTAAAGCTCCCCCCTTCTTTGATCGATTTCCTCCAAGATGGCCCCAAGAAGCGCCCAGGAGGCACCAAGAGGCCCCAAGATGGCCCCAAGAGGCCCCCAGGAGGCCCCCAAGAGGATCCCAAACGGCCCAAAGAGGCCCCCCCGAGGCACCCAAGACGCCGAAAAGCCCATCAGGACGACCCTCTACTCGCCTGGGCGTCGTTTCTGGACGGGCAGGAGGAGGGGCCCGAACGACTCACACCAGGACGAGGGGCCCGAACAACTCACACCACGAGAAGCCCGAACGACTCACACCAGGACGAAGAGCCCGAACGACTCACACCACGAAGAGCCCGAACGACTCACACCAGGAAGAAGGGCCCGAACGACTCACACCAGGACGAGAAGCCCGAACGACTCAAACCACGAGGAGCGCTTTCTCTCCCTCCTCCTCCGCCTCGTCCTTCTCCCGCTCCCACCACAAGGAGGATGTACAAGGAGGCGGGAGGAAGGAGGAACAGGGGAGATATGCGGGGGCAGGCGGAAACACGCCTGAAAAACACGACTGTCGGCATGCTTCGCTAGAGTTGCTGTTTTGAGATGGGCTGGTGGGGATACGCGAAGCGTGAAGAATTCCAAACCATTTTGTGGTATTGGGTCCTCGTTTTGTAGCGACGGTCCCCGCGTCTCTCCTTCCTCCTCTCCTCCTCCCTCCTCCTCCCTCCTCCCTTCATCATTATCATCATCGTCATCGTCATCGTCTTCATCATTATCCTCATCACCATCATCATCGTCCTCATCATCGCCATCATCATCGCCATCAGCTTCGGCACACGCCTCACACGTTTCGTGGCCCCACAGGGAGCTCCACCTAGTGTCCCATCTGCGCAGTTCGCATGGCGGCGCCGGCCCATTTTGGCACCCCTCATACGCTTCGTGCCCTCATAGGGAGCTCCACCTGAGGTCCCAGTTGCGCGTTTCGTATGCCGGCGCCGCCCCATTTTGGCACACACCTCACAAGTTTCGTGGCCCCATTGGCTGCAGTTCGCATGGCCGCGCCGGCCCATTACGGCACACCTCTCACACGCTTCGTGGCCCGATAGGGAGCTCCGCCGAAGGCTCCAGTAGCGCAGTTCGCATGGTTGCGCCGCCCCACTTCGGCACCCACCGCACACGTTTCGTTGCCCCATAGGGAGTTCCATATAAAGTCCCATTGGCGCTGTTCGCATGGTGGCGCCGGCCCATTTCGGCACACCCCTCCCACGTTTCGTGGCCTCATTGGGAGCTCCACCTAAGGTCCCAGTGGCGCAGTCGCGTGGCGTCGCCGCCCCATTTTGGCGCACCCCTAGCACGGTTCGTGGCCCCATAAAGGGAGCTCTACATCAGGCCCCAGTAGCTGCGCCCGCATGGCGTTTTCGCCCCCTTTCGGCACACTCTTCACGCGCTTCGTGGTCCCGTAGGGATTTCCACCGAAGGAGATATTAACAACGACGGTATTCACAATTGCATATGGTTGGATCCTTCGCCAAACTGATTTTATATTGCAACGGCTGGGGACACATCTTTTTGGGAATGGAAGGGAGCGGAGGGATGGCCGACCACTGAATTGCAAGCGCACCAGTGCAAACTTCCTTTTTCTTTCTCACAGAAATTACCCAGAACACAACGAAGGCTTCCTTCAGGAATAAGCTCCATCAAGGGAGGGGCCGTCACACGAAGCAAACTATACAGGTCAGGTGAGTAGCCATCCTTCCCTAATTACCATCCCTGCAAGCATTGCTATCTCGTTGTCGATCTCGCGACACGGGAAGCCGCGTGCGCGCGAGCGCCCAGGTTCAGAACCCTCTCCGCCGCGTCTTCGAGACGATGAACGCCCTTGCGGACAGCGGGAGCCCTGTGAGCCGCTTCCACACTGGCAACGTGGAGGACTTGGAGCGTTGCGTTTCCATCAAGACGAAACGCTATGAATTTATTTTCTCGGGCCTCAAGGTTTCGTGAGTCGGCGCTGGACCCCCTCTACATGCCCTTGACGGACCCGCTGGCGCCGCCACCAGTGCGCTCCACGCGCCAGGGAAGGGTTACGGGAACCCGAGGCGGCGCCAACGACGCCGCCAGAGTTGTGGGCAGGGGCTCCAGCGTCGACACAACAAGTCCTCGCGGACACCTGAATTCTTGTATTTATGAAAGTTGTGTATCGTCTAGACATGCCCGCCGAGAATAAGCAGATCGATCAGGGGGCAGATGATTCGCAGATGTGGGCCTTGTCTTTTGTGCCAGTGTCTTGCCTCTGATGCCAGAGGGGCATGGAGAATGAAGGAGGATGAGGATGCAGAGGAGCAGCGAGAACGGAGCAGTGAAAAGGCAGCGTGGAGCAGCGAGTAGGATGAGTCGGAGGAGGAAGTGGCTCCTATGGGCCAATATCGAGCATGACTCCACTTGTGGAGGGATCCCCGAGGCGGGCCACATTTTTGCCACCTTGACTGGCAGTTTTTTATATAAAAATATGTTGTTCCAACCATGCTGGACTGGCAGACGTAATCTCCCAATCAGCTTGTGGTGATGGGTCCCCGCTTTGAAGAGACAGCGCCCCGCGTTCTCTTCCCACCTCTCTTCCCCCCGCGCACCCAGTGCAACGCTTCGTTGCCCCGTAGGGCTCTACCGAAGGCCCCAGTGGCAGGGTCCACACGGCGGCGCCGCCCCATTATAGCACACCCCTCACACGGTTCGTGGCCCCGTGACAAGATCAGCCAAACGGCCCCAGTGGCAGGGTCCACATGGCGGGACCGCCCCATTTTGGCGCACGCCTCACACGGTTTGTGGCTCCATCCGTAGCCATTGTGGCTCAAACCATTCCGGCTCAAGTAACACATCTGTCGAGGCAGCTGGCCAGGTCAGCGTTGGGCCCGCCTCACACCCCGCCACACACGAGGCGGGACACCATTTTCGGCATCAAGTCACTCTGCATACTGTCGGCGTCCCTGCCCCTTTTCTCCCGCCTATTCCTTGCCAACGTGGGTGCTGGACGCAAACATCGCTCGCGACACTCCGAGGATTCGAACGATGACTGGCGTGGAGGCAGACGAGGACGGGACGATCGATCCACATCGCGCAGCAAATCTTTGTCGACAGGAAGGGACACGCGCAGCTCGTCCGAACCCTCATACATAAACAGTAAGACGTTGGACCAACTCATTGGCAGCATGGAATATTTGTCACAAGTTACAGCCAATCAAAGTCAAAACGCCCTTGCTATACGTAGCGCATGCAATGCCAGCATCGAGCGTTGCAACCACTTGACATATCAAATGACGCTTGTGGGCCGCGGGTTTGAGAACAAACATGTTGAGTTGCAGAACTTTGTGAGTACCTCTGTACATGACCTGGACACACGGGTCGCTCGTCGCCAACAGGAATTTAGTGCAGGTGGCCACCAACTTCGTGAAGACGCTATGGATGTAGAAGCGGCCTCGCAACTCGTCAGTCAGAAGCTGTCGAGCATTGAAGACGCCACCACCGACCTCATGACCCGCCAGAGTATCTGCGAGACGCAGATTTGTGATTTCAACTCCACCCCCACGCCGCGACAACGCGCCTCAACAACGTGATCGATCGCAGCTCCAGGACCAGACCTGCAAGCTTGTGATCCTTGGTTTCAAGCGCCCCATGTTCGCCAAGGACCTCCGCATCATTGGTGAGCAGTGCCGGATTGCCTTGACCCCTGCTGCGGAGGCGCAGAGGACTGTGGCACGTGCGTTCGATATGGGCAAAATATCACCCTGCGCTTGGAGACACCGCCGGCAGCAGGATCAATCATGGACAACTACATTGCCAGGCAGAGCAGCTGGAACGACCCCGACCCTCTGAACCCATCGGTGAACCTATCCTTGAGGCGTCGCCGAGATGTGAATCTCAACTCGCGCCAGCTCTTTTCGTTTCCCGGACGCGTGAGGAACAGGATTCGCGACCTCGTCCGACTTAAAGGGCTAGAGGTTGGCTCTTCAGGCTTTGGCGGAAGTGCATGCATTTTGCGCGGTCAACGCGACCCAGTCCAGGTCGCCGCCGCTGCGGTGGACGACCAAGGGGCCGTCCGCTGCGACCTCGTCCACGACGCTTTGCTTGAGTTTGGGGTCTCGCAACGCGCAGCATCGATCTCCGCAGCAGCCCAGGCGCAGCTGGGGCGCCCCTTTCAGCGCTGACTTGGACGGCTTAGGCATTGCGCAGTGCCCCCCTCCCCCCCTCTCATTGTCTAACAATGGTATCCAGCACTTCCTTCCCGACTTCCCGTTCCGAGCATGCACGTGGCATTGCTGGGCGTTGATGACGTCAGTGAAGACTGTCAGCAAGATTGCATCCAAGAGAAACTTCAATTTGATTGACATTGCCAAATCACACGACGCACTTACAGCACAAGAAACACATGGACACATCGGTGACACTAACGCGTCGGAGCGCGAGCTCAGGCAGCACCGCTTCGGCTTCTCTTTTCTCGACTCCAACCGCTAGGGCGGAGTCATCGCTGCGCCCTCGGCTAGGCTGCGTTCTCGGTTCGCTGAAATACGGCATGAGGCGCTCATCCCAGGGCGTGTCCTGAAGAGTTTTCTTCTTGGCCTACAGAAAAAACTTGTCTTCTACAACTCTCACCTCCCGGATGCCAGTGACCCCGTTCCGATTTCCAGAGGTGTTCTCGCCGCGGCCCGACAGGGCATGCGACTGCACCTGCCTGGTGGAAATGGGCGGCGTGCGCGCTGTCTTCTCATGGGCGATTTCAACTTTGCGATCGAGAACGAGGACCGGCTTTGTTGCGACACGGGTGTTCTTACTCCAGGGGGGCGCTGGACATTCCCGATGTTTCGACAGAGCGCTTCCCTTCTTGATTGAAGTCTACCAGGACCAGGACACTCGACGTGGTAAACGTGAAAATACTGTCTCGTCTACTTCTCGTATTGACAGAGTTTATACTTCGGTTCCGCTTGGCCTCCTGCGCGATCTAACCACTCGGGCTCACACTGCTGGCCCCCATGCAGGCTCACATTCGTAGTGATCGCATTCCCGTCGTCGCGTGCGTCGACCCCGTCACACTTTCCGCGCGCTCTTCTTCCATTGCTCCGTGCGTTACCGAGCTCCCCGAGTTCCAGAAGGCCCTCGGCAGCCTCCTCCAGCGGACCCCTCAGAAGTGGGGCCCATGGAACAAGCTTCCACATGCGAAATCTTCCTTATTTGGGGCGGCTGCGTCTGCGCGGAAAGCGCTACTTACCCGACAAGCTTCCTCGCTGCATGAGCGCCGTTTCTGCGCCCTTGCAGCGTTTCGTGCAGCGCGGCTTGGTCACCGCAAACGTCTGGCAGATGCGCCACGCAGCTACCCGCGTCTGAAGGTGCATTTTAGCCAGGATCTCGAGGAGTGCGTTCACCTCGATGGCCTACGCCAGCATGCGCAGGCTCTTTGCCTTCAGATTTTAGAGGGGGGGAAGGACATTCGGAAGTCAGGGGTCGAAGAGGACAGGAGGCCGGCGCTTCTTGCACGCGACGCTCGTCGTCAAGAACTCTGTTGGGGATTCAAGAGACGCACCTACCCCGAGAACATTTGTGGGGGCTCCGGGGAGATCATTGCGAACGCTCAGGACTCAGCGAAGCTCCTTCAGGAATGCTGCGTCCCCTTCTTCGACAGACCTTCGATCGACCATGACCTCTGGAGCTCTGCGGCCCCCCGCACTCAGCACCTCTCGGGCCCCCTCAAAACGGATTGGCAGCCCTTCATGCAACATGGTGCGAGACGACCCCCTACCCGCCCGACAGCATACCAGGTCCAGATGGCGTTCCATACTCTGCTTGATGTCTATGCCACCCTCTTCACATATCAGATGTCGGCCCTTCCGCCCGAGATGCGCGAGTGCTTTCTAGCATGTTTCAGCTAGGGCACGGACCCGAATGACCCAGCAGACGGCGCGTGTCTTACACGGCATCCATCCTGTACTCATCCTCTTAGCATGTATAATACAGATATCAAGCTGATCGCTAACGCCATCGCCATCACTTTGACGGCTAATGTATTGCACTTGGTAGATATTGATCCGACATTTCTTCGTGGCCGGGATATGTTGGCGCATGTCGTTCGCGCCGAGACCTGGGGCATTTGCCAGCGCGCGCAGGGGGTTCCATGCGCCTCTTTGTTTCTCACCGGCTTCTCTGCAGCCTTCCCATCTCTCGCTCCCGAGTGTTTTTTTTGTGATCCAATGTGCTTCGCAAGATGAAGTTGCCTCGTTTCCTCGTCCGCTTCTTTGAGATGCTATACCATGAGAATGTTGGCGCGATTCTCTTCGCTGGCGGCACGCGCGGCACACCCGGGACTCAATGTGGGGTTAAGCAAGGCTGTCTCGCCTCGATGTTGCACTACGTTCTCGCTACCGACCCCCTCCTTCGAAGGCTTTGTCGCACTACCCCCCCCCCGCATCCACCTCGACCTTGCCGACGCCGATGACCTCCTATTCGGGCTTCAGAACGCTCTGAGGGACGTTGGGCCCATCTTGGAAGGTCTTCTGATGTTCGCCCAGATCGCGAACCCCCGCCTCGATCTCAACAAGTGCCACATCGTAGGTTGCGGGGGCCGGGACTTGAAGATCGTGAAATGGGTTCTTAAGGAGTTCGGGGAGCCTGCGGACAAGCACCAAGTGGTCTCTTGGGCGGTGTACTTAGAGGTTCCGATCGGTCCTGGCGGGCATATTCATGTTTGGGATAGCATCCTTCCGAAATTCCGTCACCGTGTTCGCCTGACAAGAGTTTTGGGATCCGGGCTCGCACTGAGTTGCGTTGCGTTCCGTACTATGTGTGTGTGTCACTTTTGCAATTCAGATTTCAACTATACCCCGCCAGTGGTGAACTGGCACACTGTTTCAAGGAAGGCGCGTTGCTTTTGACCGTCGGTCCGCGGA